TGCCCAGAGTCATCTGGGTGTGAATTGGGTGGCCATATAAATTTGTTTAACAAACAAAAAGTAAATAAACTGGAGGAAGGGGAGAAATGAAATAGAAATGTAACGTCTATGGAAATTTCAAGCAAAATTTTATTTTAGCGTTCTAGAAAATCTAAAGCAAGAGACTTCTCTAGCAATTGGGTAGAAAAAGAAGATTGAACAATGAACTCTGGAGATAACTGAGCAAGGAAGGTCAGACTCCGTCTTCCGGAGGTGACGGGTGCTCCATTTTTGCAACGAAGTTTGGCCTGGTTCAGCCCTTTTCATTGCGCAATGTCTAAAGGACAAAGGTAGATTTGTCCTCTGCTGGGGACGAGTCCAATTTCCAGCCAAGGAGAGATTATCCCTCAAGCACAACTGGGCATTTGAGCAGCGAGGGATCCATTAGACATGCTGCCTACAGCATCCTTGAAGGATAGGAACTCTGCTCCTGGGTACCAAGTGGATCTCTGGGAGAAGTCAGTGAGTGTGCTTGAGCAAGCTGCGTGAACCTCAGAAGCTCAGGTGAGAATGTCCTTGGTGCTCCTCCTTTGGATTCCTTGAAGGTAAAGGTTCCCCTTGCACATAGGTGCTAGTTGTTCCCATTCAAAGCCGAAGAGCCAGCACTGTCCAAAGATGTCTCCATGGTCATGTGGCCAGCATGACTCAACGCCAAAGGTGCACAGAACACTGTTACCTTCCCATCAAAGATGGTCCCTATTTTTCTACTTAGAAGAGGCTTCAACCCACCTCCACCTTAAAGTCCACTTAGCTTTTTTAAAAGTTCAACATATTTTACGATGATGGATTTTATGATTCTCTCCCAGAGTCATGGGTTCCCCATTTGGAATCTTCCCAGCCATCTTCTGCAAAGCAAAATCAATGGGGGGAGCTGAATTCACTTAATGGCCATGTGATTCACTGGAGTGAACTGGAGTGATTTGCTAAGGGATGCTGTGGCTCAGTGGCTAAGAAGCTGAGTTTGTCGATCAGAAAGTTGGCAGTTCAGCGGTTTGAATCCCCAGCACTGCATAACAGAGTGAGCTCCCGTTACTTGTCCCAGCTTCTGCCAACCTAGCAGTTCAAAAGCACGTAAAAAATGCAAGTAGAAAAATAGGAACCACCTTTGGTGGAAAGGGAACAGCGTTCCGTGCGCCTTTGGGTGTTGAGTCATGCCGGCCACATGACCACGGAGACATCTTTGGACAGCGCTGGCTCTTCGGCTTTGAAACGGAGATGAGCATCGCCCCCTAGAGCTGAGAATGACTAGCACATATGTGCGACGGGAAGCTTTACCTTTGCCTTCATGATTCGCTTAACAACTGTGGCCAAAATGTTGTAAAAATGGGAATCGACTCAATTAACAACTGCCTTGCTTGGCGATGGAAATTCTGACCCCCAACTGTAGTCGTAAATCAAGAACTACCCATATTAAGGGGGGGGGACTTCCTGTACACAAATTTAAGTCGGGAAAGGAAATCCTTTCCCAACTTAAAAGGTAAAAAGTTTTTGAGAAAGGGCAGACGGGGAGACCATCACAATCCGACCGAAACTAAGAAGGAGGCGAACCATTTCGTAACATTTAAGAGAACACAGAGAAAGAAAGAAAAATAAATACTTTAGCTCCCTCCCGGGAGATCCTGCATGAAGCACCGCATTTAAAGTTCTGCAGAAGCAGCAACAGTGGAGAACTTCGCCCGGCACTCACAAAGTGCTTACCCCGAAGGGCCATTAGCAGCAACCTGCATTATTGAGGAGGGCCTGATGAAGCAACCGCCAACACCGGCTGGCCCTGGGGGCAAACCACTCGGCCTGCTTTGCAAAGCCGCAAGGCCCCACAGCCGCCTCGCAAAAGGGAGACCGTCAGGCTGGGAAAGCTACAGTAGTGGCCAAAATTGTGGAAACCTTTTGGGAACAGTGTATTTTTTGAGGTTTGATGGCTAATAACACCACTTTTTGGGGTGGGGGGTGGAGTTTCAAGATCATCATATTCCACTGCTGGAATGTCCTGGGAATAGCCCAGACCAGGGGTCGGCAACCTTAAACACTCAACGAGCCACCAAGGTCCTAACTGGAAGCCCCCTGTCCAATTCTCAAGCCAACAGGAAGTCCGGTTCCCCCATCATAGAGTCTCCTCCTAGCGTGGCATCCTTTTTCCTTTGCCAACTGGAAGTCCAGTTCCCCCATCATAGAGTCTCTTCCTAGTGTGGCNAAAATGTTCTCCCTCTGCATTTGCATCACTTTCCAAATATATATGTATACACCTATAGCTCAGTGGAAACTGAAAGGATCAACCAGACAAAAGAAAGAATACAGAAGCTTTCTCACAATCATCTTCCTCTCCACACTGGCAATCCTTCATCCGATGAGCCATGTGGAAGTTAGAGCAATACGGAGTTTCGTTCTGGTTCTCACAGTTGCAGTAAGACTCTCCTGTCACAGGTATGGCTGTGGGGATGGAAGGCAACTGAGAAGGAAATTCTGATTCTGAATCAGAGTCGCTGTGCTGCTAGAGAAAGAAGAAAGAATGGGTATATTTTCCTCTTATTCTAAGAAAACATTTAGCAACAACAGGGGTCCCTGGGGAAAGTTTTAAGGTTCACATGCTCTGGATGTCACATAATTCTATGTTTATGCCCATGTCTTTAATTTCTAGACGATCTTTCTGAGGCTGACTAGGATCAAATTTAATTCTGCCAAATTTAAGGTAACTGGCTTTAATGAACTCCAGGATTAATCAAGGAGTTAATTATAGCATAAATATTTGATTCTATGAAGATTGGATTAAGGAAGTGTTAAACATACGTTTGATAATCAAGCATATAAAACAATCATAACACTCGATACATTTATACTATTTTTTTAAAAAATAGAGTTTAATCATTGTTCTTTTTTAAAGAAAAAAGTAGAAGATATACCACATTATTTTATCCAGGACTAGAACATACAACTGTTAAGAGCACCTGGCAAATATTTTATTCAAGCTGTCTTTGTACTAGTTACGTTCAGGCATAATTCTATCAGCAAGAGCAACTTGTTTCCTTCCATGGTTTGTACAAATTTACAGCTTCTTCCATTAAAAAAACTTTCACTATTTATTCAAAAGGAAGAAGCCACGAAACCAAATGAGGATGGCATTGTTAACAAGCCATAAAAGAACTTTCATGTTCTAGTTAGCTTCTTCCATTGTTTTTTTTTTAAGTAAAAAGTACTGAACCCAGCAATTCAGTTTCTCAGGTAAGAGGTAGATACTTCTTTACTTTACCTGGCATAACACATTAAGCCTTTCTAGGTTCGATTCAATTCCAACCTAGTTATCAACTAAGGCTATAGAGAGATCCAAAAAAGGGTGTTGCATATTTTCCTAGGCTTGTACAGCTGCAGCACTGAATCCAAAAACCTATGTGTTGAAGTTAATATATTCCTGGCAAGCACTACATGTGCACTAGCATGCATTCTGAGCACTGTACATGGTCTCTGGGTTCAGTGCATTGTATGAATGTACAATCTGTCAGAATTTACAACAAGAATCTGATGAAAGTATTGAGTGTCCCAATGGAATTATATCTTAGGTAGTCTTGCAGAAAACAAACAAATTTCACCTGCCCATCAGTGTCAGATGACCAGCCATGGGTTCCAGAAGCCGTTGTAAAAGTCCGGGAATCTGATTCTCGGCGCACTCCACTCAGAACATAGCGCCAAGCTCTACTATTGCGCATACGTCGCGCCATGGCCTCTTTGGAGAGGTAATCTGGAAGGCAAAGCAATATCTTACTCACAATGCCCTCTTCAAAGGAATCGTCTCAATGTGCAACATTTTTTCCCTACAGAAAACATTACATATTAAGGTATATTTTGTGCCGAGAAAGAGAGAAGATAGTAAACTATATACATAGGAAAAACAATTGAATCTCCACTTATCAGCTAGTGCCAATTTTATCACACTAGACTTAAAGGAGGAAAATGCACTCCACCACAAAAAAAGCATAGGAAGTATGACAGTCAATAATCTTTGGCCAAGATGAATGAGATCAAAACCGACCGGAACAGAAATAATAGAGTCTAGAATACTGACTGTTTCCAAACTGGCTTGAAATAATCCACAATTTTTTAAGCCCTCAGACTATTTCTTTTCCCTTCCATCAAAATTCTTATTTAGTAGAAGAGAAGCCATCAAATATACAAAGGCAGGAAATGAGACCGCTGTTCTTAAATAAGTTGGACTTAAATATTTGTTAAGGACATTGGATCAATCACTGATTCAGTAAGCAGGAAAATGACCATGTGTACCTCCTGATATGTATTAATGTCCAGCTTATTACAATATCCCCCCCATCTATTTCAGAGCTCAATCAATCCAATTCAAAGTTTCAAAGCATCTCTTTTCTCTTCTCAGTCCATAGTAGCAGTGACATGGGTCACCCTAACCATTTTTGGATGTATAGAAACGCTCCCATAACTTACTAATTTTTACGTTTTCTAGGACTCCTCACTTCCACCCAATTCACAATGATTAGAGACCTAAATGTTACTTGAGCTAATGAGTACTTAATACTTAATATTCCTAGATCTGCCTAACACAAGCATCATGTAATGAATAGCAAACCTTATGATTAAAGTGACTCAAATGAGTGATCCAACAAATTCTGCTTGACAGCTCAACAACTTAGCTGCCTTAGGAGATTACTGCAAACATTCCAGTGTATCTGAAGGCAGTAGTTTTAAATAGTAGGGTGGGAGAAGGAGGTGCCCAAACAGAAAATGAACACAAACAGCAATCTAAGTATACTAAAGCAAATTCAAAGGCATCAATTGTTTAATATTTGAATCAGTTAATCCCAAAACTGCTTTTCAATGTTAGAAAACACATAATCAAAATGAAAAAGCTTGAATATGAATGGGGAAAGAAAAGATATAAGAATAAATTTTTTGATAATTCTAAAATCAGTATTTCAGTTTATCCAGATTTATAATCTAACTAGCACGCCTTTAGAATGTCAAAAGATAGACATCAACCTTAGTCAAGAAAGCAAGAAGTCTCCTCCTACACAAGGTTTACCATCACAGAACAAACACGAAAACTATTAAGGATATGACAATTTTCCTCTTATTTCAAAACAAAAGTATGCCTTAGTTTAGTATCTTTTTAAAAATATTTCACCCTTCCTTTAGGAGCTTAAGGAGTGCATACCACTCCTTCCTCCCATTTTTTTCCCCATAACAATACTAGGTGATAAGCTGGGCGAGGGAATCTTTCGGTGCTTCTGTGTTTTGGAGCTGAACAGATGTACAGCATATTTTCTTTGATAACTGCATTTTTATTCCTGTAACCGCCATCAACAATGACTTCCATATGCCAAAAAATACAAAAGAATGGATATCGGCCAGGTTTGAATATATTTGCTGCAGAAAACATAGTCACCACCAACTGCAAACAAAACTTCTGTTTACAAAATACAGGGTTTATTTATTTGTTTTAGTCCTCATTTGAAAGGCAGTATTTTCTCAACTTGTTTCAAACCTAGCAGTAGAGAACTTGTAAATTGAAAGTAGAATATGAAGTAGCTTTAACAGTGAAAATGTGAAAACAAGAATCAAGCACATATCTAAGCACATATCCAACCCTGGGAGTCCTCAAAATGATATTGGACAGCCACTTGTCTGAAATGGTATAGGTTTCCTCCTTGAGCAGGGGGGCGGACTAGAAGACCTCCAAGGTCTCTTTCAGATTACTTTCTTTGGAAATAGAATAACAAACTACCAGAGTTATCAGCTCAAACTATTTCATACCATCTCCATCCCACGTTTTTTCCCCAAAAAATCTTGGAAAGCAATATTGAGAGACAGAATCCTAACAGCCTTTTTCCTCCCTCATCCCTGGCCAAGTCCACACTAAACTATCCATGAAAAATCATTTCCAAGGGTAGGTCAGGCTTCCCAGCCCAACTTTTTTTTTTATTAAAATCCACATGCTCTGTTGAAGCAGGCTACTAAAAAGGCCATCACGTACTTGGAAGATTAGATTAGATTGTTTATTTGTATGCCGCCCTTTTCCCTGGGGGGACTCAGGGCGGCTCACAATCCAAAGGAAGNCCCAACTTTTCTGTTTGCAAATGGTAGGAAATTAGAATTAAATGCCTGGATAGTTAAAAGGCCTGATCTGCTTAATCTTGTTACACTGATTGTCCACTTATAGAAGCTGTATGTTATGATACTATGTGAATACAGTCATTCAGAGTTTGGACTGGCTGATTTCCAGCTTCTTGCCTTGACAGCCTGACCCTAATGCATGTAGGCTTTGTCAGTGTTCTCTGGGACATGCATTATCAACATGGAGAGGGATGGAAGTTGGTTCCTGAGCCTAGAAATTATGTCTGGCAGGCACCTGTATCAGTAACATAAACATTTAACTAATGAAGGGCTCAGAATGCAATTTGACTCCTTTAAAGCTGGAAATAAAGTCCATCCCTTTGACATTGGGCAAGCCTTTGAGATATGTGTATGGATTTATGTATGCATGTGTATGTGTGTTTGTGTGTGTATACACTCACACACACTCACAGTATATAGGGTGTTTTCATATAGCATCGTTATCAGCTAGAAAAATGAGGTGGCTCATTTCCTCTCTAGCTTTTTTGGGGAACTGTAGTTTTGAATTCACAAGTTACCTAACGAGCTGTGTGGAGGACTTCCTTTTCTCTCCTGAATCTCTCCCACCACCCCGATTTCTAGGCTGACCACAGTACTTGTGAAGAAAGGGAGGGAGGGAGGGAGAGGAGGATACTAACCACTTGTTGCACAAAATCCCAGTTGACCAAGGTATCTGGGTCAGTGAAGTGAACTGTGTAGTCCTGGTCATCACGCACTACAAACTGGCAGCTGCAAAGAATATGAGGGATTTAGAATTAAAAACTCATAATAATAACCACCTGAAACCAATTATATTGAAATTATCCAGGAATACAGATATTCAGATTAAGTAACTGCTGGCAATTATTTGCAAAAATCTTATAACAACACGATTGATCTTTTACATTAGTCTAACTAATCCAAGGACATAGAGTGCTCTCAAAAATCAAATATATCAAGGGGAGAAAATTGGAAAGTATCTGCTTTTTAATCTTACAAGGAATGCTCTCATTTAACCAGAACTGTGATCATTATTTATTTCTATAAATAAAAGGACTCATGTTAGACCTTGGCATTACAATTTTATAAAGCTATATTGTATTGGACAAAACTGGTTTCGAATTCACATCACTAATAGTTTTATTTTTCTTTGTTTTGAATGAATTCAAATGCATTTCAAATACAACACAGCAATGAGAGTCAAATGACCGAAACAGCTTCAAATGTAAAATATAAACCCAAAGCAAATGTTCACATGGAGAATAAAAACTACAAAACAGAAGCTGAAAGCAACAGGTAGGAACAGCACAGGAACATGATTAAATTCTCCCTCAAGATATTTATGATACAGACCGAGCTCCCACTCACTTGGCCTGAAGGAAAAGCTCCTTGCTGAAAGGTTTGTTTTCCCATCTGTTTCTTTTTCCCCAAGTGCCATGGCTGCTCCCATCAAAATGGCCAGTGTGGCCACGAGGTTCAAATGTAAAATTCAACAAATGGTTCAGATTAATCTTCTTGGGGCCAGAGAATTGGGCAGGGCTGAACTCTGCCCGCTGAGTTTCTGTTACCTGAGAAAGCAGACAATTTAGTTTGCAGGGGTTGCAATAAAAAAATACGATGCCATACAAACACTATTATTTATACCAAGAAGATGAATATTAGGCCAGAACTTTGGAACAATCTCTTGGAGGAGGGGAAAAGCAAACTGCAGCTTTACCTTTGCCAAAAATATCATATAGCTTTCCCATTAGGGACAGAGGTCAAACTAAAGAAAACTTAATTATCCTTATAAGCCAAGAGCTTGTTTTTCTGTAGCCCTTTACATCACACAGCATATGATTCACTTGCAAAAGGACACTAGACTTTCCTCTAACATTATTTTCTATATTATCATTACAAATCTTTTAAATGTATTTTGCTTTCAAGGGTCACAATCTGGAAAACTGCTTATACATCCCTTAAAGTATAGGTTAAGAAGGATTTTCTATGTACTGTAATCTTTTAAAATATACAAATAAAAGCAACATCAACAGTCAACCCTCCAGTTTTAATTGATTCTTCCAAGAATTAAACATTTGAGGTAACACTTCAATGAGATGCATTTTTTGATAATGAGCCTCCATCATCCTTGAATATGAACTCACCTAGACATAAAGTAAAGCCTTAAAACATCTACAGTTTATATACCTGAGAAATGCTGAATATTTATCTTTCTTGCACCCCCAGCCACAGGCTGAATAGGGCCAGCCGAAGGGCCAGATGTGACCCGCAAATGCCCAGGTCTGCCATGCTTAATTAGCACATTTTATAGAACTAAGGAAAAAAATGTACATGCTAATGCCAATATTCCTTTCTGTACACATTTAGAAGCAAATAATCCATAGTAACCTCTTGCATTTTTGCAGAAGTAATTTGGCCTCTACTTCTTCATGATAGGGCATTATTGTTGCTTTTTTTCACAAGCATGAAGGTAAGAGCATTTAATTCAATTGTGTTAAATTTAAATTTTACCAACAAAGAAATAAAGGAAGACTAGTATAACTATTTCAAGCTGTTTAGCTCTCATCAGCTCTCATCAGCTAGCCATACCCTTCTGGGATTCGAACCCGGCTGCTTACATATTAGGCAGATGTATTAACATCTAGGTCATGGGCTCCCCTCGCTTTGTCAGCTGTACCAGGGGAGAGATTAAGTGTTTTTCTGGTGCAACTGATCTATCAGGGCAACCCAGTTTACCCAAATATGGGACGGGGCATACTGCTTCCACTTTTGCTTTTCAGCCCCAATCCAGGAGCCTTCGCAGGCAGTTGCTTTCGCGAAAAACTATTTTTTGTTCTATACCAACAAAATAGTTTGTTGCAGAAGCGGCTAACTGTGAAGGCTCCTAGACTGGAGCTGAGAGGTGAAAGTGGAAGCAGTATATTCCGTCCCATATTTGGGTAGACCAGGTTGCCCTGATAGACCACTCCCACTGGAAAAACATTTATTCAGTTCAATTAGATTCTTATTTTTAATCTGTATTTCACATTTTGAATGAGAGAAGAAAAAATAGAAGTTTCTATTGTGTCAGAAAAGAGAGATAAGACAGAATATCTGATGAAGTAAGGCATGTAATGTAAATGTCCCAGGAAGGGCAGGATCTCACCTCATCTCGTCTTCCACCATTAGAAGAAAGGCTAAAAGATTTGCTGCCGCTGTTCTGCTCCCCCCTCTGAGGGGGCATCTTGTTAAAAGCTTTGCTTTTCTGTGAAAAGGAGCGACGGGACTGGCTGGGGAAACACTCATTTTTGGGATATGAAGTTTCTCTCTTACGATTATAACGCTGTTTGGATCCACTTGCATTTTTCCCTTCTGAAATAGACAATAAAGGAAAATAATGTTCAGCATTCAGTCAAAAGCAAGTCCTAGCAGAGCAGGCAACCTACGTCAGCCAGACTGCTAACACAAGCAAAGGCTTCTCCAGAGGAACCTACTGCTTAGAACTTTCATGGCTAGAAGGTGAAACCAAACATCTTTATTTAAAGATCTCTCTAATTGAAGATATTTTGATCTTAAAAACTATAATATTTTCCCAACCCTTGTGCTGGCATAAAACAAATACTGTACTAATAGAAATGTATATTTACTAGCAACGGGAAAGGATTACTCTTCTTAGTATTCATCCTCAGAATCACTTAGAAGAAAACCAGGTTAGTCTATGGTGGTCCAAAATCAGAAGGACCGATAGTCCCTTTCCAAACTGACAAAAAGTTATTAGCATTGGATTATTTGCTCAGTTTCCCAATTTCATTATTCTAATGCTTTGAATCACCCCAAGGGAATTAGACAAGTAAACATAAATGCTTTACCTATAATTTCATTTTCAAATACTTCTGACGAGGGAAAAATTGGTCTTTTAAAATTTGAGTTTTTGTACACTCAAGCTCTTCCCTCCAACAATATTCAGTTTTGCACACATCAAAATTTTTTTCAATAAAATAAATTATTCTGTATGCAATCCAAAGTAACAACGATTACTATCCAATGTAGGCAATGCATTTCCATTATCATAAGTTCTGTTATAATTAGAACAGTAATTCAAGGAAGAAGTTGCCACTAGGATAGGAAGCTTGGGAGTACAGCTAGTTCTCGACTTATGACCACGATTGAGCCCAAAATTTGACCCCGGAACACTGCAACCATCATAAATATGAACTAATTGCCAAGCATTCAAATATTAATCACATCATGGGGATGCTGCAGCGGTTGTGTGAAAAACAGTCATAAATTGTTTTTTTCAGTTATGTTGTAACTTATAACAATCACTAAATGAACTGCTGTAAGTAGAGGACTACCTATATTAGCAACCTTAAATTCCTTAAGATATAAAATTTAAAACTTTGCAATATTGATTGATTGATTGATTGAAGGTTTATTTGTATGCCGCCCTTTTCCCTGGGGGGACTCAGGGCGGCTCACAATCCAAAGGAAGGGGGGGGAAACAGACTTTTACATATAAGACAATACATGATTAAAACGCAACATTAATCCCATTCGGGCGGGTTACAATCTTTAGCCCCAGGCCTGACGGGATAG